GTATATTCCTTCCATTTCTTTTAATACTTCCTGGATCATTTAATATTCTGCCTAAAACATTCTTGATTATAGCAACTCTAGGTTTGAATTTGTTCTTCAGTTCCTTGAGCTTATTGATTATGCTTCAAGTGATAGTATTCTACATAGAGGACCTAGTTGGAAGTGAGAAGGGAACTGTCTAACTCCTCTTTTCTTGTTCTAGCTCTGGTGGCTTGTTGTTGTTGTTTTTAATGTGCTGTTGAGTCACTTGTGACTCATAACGACCCTATGTACAACAGCTCTGAACTCTGCTCTTTCTTGAGCCAACCTCGTTGTGTCTGACATACCTACCCCCATCACCCCGGTCACTGAATCAATCTATCTCATCCAGGGTCTTCCTCTCTTGCGCTGTCCCTCCACTCTTCCAAGCATGATGTCCTTCTCCAAGGACTGGTCCCTCCTTGCAACATACCCAAAGTATATCAGATAAAGCTTGAAAATCCTTGCCTTCAAGGAGCAGCCTGGTTTCACCCTCTCCAGGAGAAACCTATTTGTTCTCCTAGCAGTTCCTGTTGTATTTATTACCCTTCTCCAGCACCTCAGCTCAAAGGCATCAATTCTTTTATCATCTTTAGACATTGTCCAGGTCTCTGATGCATAGCAAGTAATTGAAAAGACTGTAGCTTGGATCGAGTACACCTTAGTCTCTAGACTGACATCATTGCTCTTCAGTACTCTGGAGAGGTCCCTGGCAGCAAATTTGTCCAGTACAATTCTCCTTTGATTTTCAGGCTGCTGAATTCCACTGCCAATGCAAAAGTACACTGTTTGAATCCCCTACCGGCTCCAAAGGAAAAAAATGGGCAGTCACCTTCCATGTGATTTACTGACTCTGGACACTTGCTGGAGGGTCAGCTTGACACTACAACAGCACCAGTTGGAAATAGAGAGCTATGAGGGCATAGTCTGTAGGGAGTTGTGCTGCTAACTCAAAAAGTGGTGCCACTCTGGGGGTTCAACCCACCAGTGATTCAGTGGGAGAAACACTGACAGTCCCCTCTTGGACTATTTACAGCCTCCAAAAAACCTGCTGGGGGGTTGGCCATAAGTCAGTTCTGTCTCTGTGGTAATGAAAGAGATACTCAGGAGAGACACTTCCAGGATTTCACAGGCTATTAAGACAGACTCAAACAAATAATTGGCTTATCGCATGATGAAGGCAGCAGCCCAAGATAAGAAGTCAAGATTACCCATTTGGGAAGAGTCCCAGGGCTTCCTGGAGCGAGTGGTCTTTGCACTGGGGTCTGAGACGTGAGTAAACGCTACCCAGCTCCTCCGCGACAGTGAGGTTTATATTCCAGATTTGGGAGCATGTGTGCAGTAATGTGTACTTTGGAAACCATGGTCTGAAATGTCAGAGGGGAACCCTGGAGAGGAAGGAGCAGGATGGAGGCTGCCCTTTTGTCGGTGTCTGGCTCTGGAGCTGCTGAGAAGGCAGTCAGGGTCCCTGTTGTCATGGAGTTGACATTTAGTGGGTGAGCAGATCTCTGCCCAGTTCAGAATCTAGCTGGCCTTTGGGACTAGGTTAGATTCTTCAACTGAAGTAACTCTTTAAAATGCCTGTCTTTTAGAAATTGAAGAGGGAAGGAAATAAATGAAAAGGAACCACAAGTATCCTTACTAGAATACTAGTAAAATTTAAACAATTGTGTTTTCTCGTAGAGATTCTTACTGATATTCTTTTTTTTTTAAATGCCAAGTCAATATGGAAAGAACTGTTCCATATTATACTTTTCTCCTTAAAAGCATGCTACCTTCAAACATCTTTTAGGCAGCAAAGATGCAGTAAGGGTAAAGGCAACCATTAAAAATAAAGATTCATTTTCTTCACTTTGAGATTCCCTGTGATCATGTTACAGGACTCTAGGGGACAGAGTTGGGATTAACTCTACAGGAGGGCAGTGTTGACAGCACTAAAACATGCTGATAATGATGAAATCCTAGATCGCTTTGGCTGGGTAAAGAGGAACCTTGTTCGAGCAAGACTTTTAGTGCTGCTGCTAGTTGGTGACGTGGAAAGGTGCAGTCTTCTCCTGTGCGTCTTGTAGCTTCTGAAATCCATCCAATGGAAGGTCAGCTATGAGCCACTTCCAACTTGACAGCAATGCACAAGCGACTGTATGCTAATCAGTAGGTGGGTAAGGGAAACATGCCCAGTGCTGTGAAGTTGGGTGGTGGTTGTGTACTGTCAAGTCAGAGCCAACCCATAGCTGACCCTCCAGCAGGTTTTTTTTGGGGGGGGGGGGTTGTGGATTTTTTGGTTTGTTTGTTTGTTTTTAAGAAATGTTGAGTTGTATTTATTGCCTTAAATCGTATGCTAATTTATTTGCAGGCTTAAGGGATTTTTAAAAAAATATATATTTGTGTGTGTGTGTGTGTGTGTGTGTGTGTGTGTGTGTGTGTGTGTGTGTGTGTGTGTGTGTACGGTCAAATCAGATCTGACTGGTACTCAGATCTGACTGGTACAGGAGGAGATTGTCCCTCCTTCTCCAGGAAAGCATGTGGTGGATTCGAATCACGTGCCTCTGGGATTGCAGTGCAGCTTCTTGCCACTAGGCCATCAGAGCTCCCTGCAGGCTTAAATATTTTCTTTTTTTAAAATTGAGATTTAATGAAAGTCTATAGAGAACATAGATTTCCATTCATTCATTCATTGTTGCACATTTTTCTTCCCTGCCCACCCCTCCCCACCCCCACCCCCCTTTGCTTTTCTCTTTGGAAAAAATTTTTTTTCATTGTTTTACAATCCTCCCCCCAGTCCACTTTACTACGAAGCTCTTATTCTCACAGTAGTAGATTGCCCATCCTTCTCCTGCAGAGCCACTGGTGACCTCGAACTGTGTGCCTTCAGGATTGCAGTGCCGCTTCTTGTCACTAGGCCACCAGAGCTTTGGATAGCTGTTATTCATTGAATGTGTGCATTTAAAAAGGCTTTCATTAATGGAAGAGAATGTATTTAAAAGATACCTTCACCAAATTAAATGTGAGGAATGTGTGAAGATCTCATTTTTAAACTCCATTAGGAACAAAACCATCCTCCCTTACGGCCTGTGGCATGATGTCTAGCACATCAGGCTACTAAACCAAAACCAATTTTTGTTCTTAGGCACAAACGTTGTTTACATTTCTTGATTTCTTTTTGGTCTTGGACTTTGTTAGCCATTTTTTTTATATATGATCCATGAGGTATCATATTGAGAACTAGATTGTTCCAAATGTTTTCATTAAAATGAGAACCCCTTATTCCTGGTCAGTGATAGCTTTAGTACATTAGATGTTAAAATGGCAAGGGCAAGAATTTTCTAGAATCTGGATGTAGTCAGAGCATTCTGAGGAAGGATGCATTTAAGACCATTTACTTCCGGGGCCTCTGAGGAAGTCATCCTAAGGAGTTGGCCTGTCACCCCAAAGGGGCATATTTTGAATCCATCTGCTTCTCAGTAGGTGAAAGATGGGCAGTCTTCTCCTGTGCTATTTAGTGTCTCTGAAAACCTTCCAGAGAGTCAGCAATGAGTCAGTTTCCACTTGACAATACATAACAACAACAACTTTGGTGCTGAAGAATCAGAGCCTTCCTTAGTCTCCATGGAAAGTGCCCGGCTACCAGGCTGTCTAACCCTCTCCCTGAACTGCCCACTTTTTCACTGTCATTGGAGGAGCTCCATGGGCAGGTTGGCTTACAGGTCAATGGGTGTGGGTGGGAGAACCAGTGAGAACAGGATTCCCATGCCAAGACCTCAGACAAGGAGAGGATGTAGGAGGGACCATGTTGACAAGCCTTTCCTCTCCCATGCTTATATGTTATTATCTCTGGAAGCCCAGAGCTGTGGCTTGGCATGTCTTATTTCTTTTCTTTTTATTCTTTGTTGCACTTTTTTAAAATTTTATTAATTTTTGTGTGTGTACAATCAAATCGGATCTGACTGGTACAGGAGGAGATTGCCCCTCCTTCTCCAGCAGAGCATCTGGTATATTCGAACTGTGTACCTTTGAGATTGCAGTGCAGCTTCTTGCCACCATTGTTGCACATATTCCAACCCCCAGCCCATTCTGAAAAGCACCCCTTGTTCCAGCTTGTTGTCACACATATAATACCTAATCATAAATTCCTTTTGGACAGTTCTTTGCCTCATCTGTTCTACTGCACTGTTTATTATCTATCTTTTCCCATTCTTTCCCTAACATCCCTGAATCTGTCCTGTTTTATATTAGTGATGTTAGGCAGTATTTGTCCTTTTGTGACTGAGAAATTTCACTCAGCATAATATCCTCCCAGCTCTCCCGTGTTGTGTAATGTTTGTACCATAGTTTTTCTATCCATTCTTTTGTTGTTGGGCGGCATGTCTTATCATGACCTAAGATGTTCCCTTTTCTCATTTCAGAAGTAAGCACTTTAAAGGATCTCTTTGGACTTGCCAGTAATGGTAGGCATTTTTTCTCAGTTTTTTGACCAGTGTGGGTTTACTATTTGAGAATGTGTTTGTGTGACTCCTGGTGACCCCACATGTGTGGAGCAGAGCTGGCTGCTCCATATGCTTCCAGGACTGTGACATTTTGAAGTGAATCTCAGGCCTGCCTTTTGATGCGCCTCTGGATAGGCTGGACCTGCCAGCCAGGCTGAGTGCACTGACCGTTGGTGCCACCCAAGGACATGGAGTCACCATGAGTTGGAATCGACTCAGTGATACCCAACGGTCCCGTGTGTGGGTGAGGGAGGTGCAGCTGCAAGAATGTTCTTGTCTTCCACCCTGCCAGGGTCCTGACATGTGACTTTCTTTCTAGAGCATGACCTCTCGATGGCCAAGTATAGCAGGCTGCCCAAAAAAAAGGAGAATGAGAAGGTAAAAATGCCTTGTGGGCTACTTTTTACTGCCTTTGCATGTGTGTGTCGCCTTGGTACGAAAAGTGACTTGCTGATGGTTTTTCATTTTTCTGTGCAGAGTCCTTGCTTGCACTTTACTCTGCCATCATAACCAGACCCCCACTTCTTCACCCTGGCTTTCCACACTGATTTGTGTAAGCCCAACTTGGTGGAATACACGCATGGTGATTTTCATTTGCACATGATTACCTGATTCATAGGGAGCTCTGGTGGCCTTAGGGGTAAGGAGCTGCACTCCAGCCCAAAGGCACACTGTTCAAATCCACCAGCTGCTTTGTGGGAGAAGGAGGAGCATTCTTCTCCCATGTGATTTACAGCCCCTGAAAACCTGCTGGAGGGTCACCTGTGAGTGAGCTCTGACTTGACAGCACATAACAACAGATGTGACTCACGTGCCACATGGGTTCACTCTTAAGTCTGTAAACCATCTCTGCGATGTGAGTGTCTACTAGAGATAATATTGAGCATTTTCATGTCAATCCTTTTTCAATTCTGTGACTTGACTCTTTTAGGCTAATTATTTTCTTGTAATAGAATCTGAGGGAAGCAGAGCATTGCTGGTTTTGATGCATGCTGCCATGTTATTTTACTATCCAGCATCCAGTAGTTTTATAAGCAGAAAGTATTGATTTCCCCTCAGTGCCACCAAAAATATTGCTTGGACGGTTCGAATCCACCAGATGCTCTGTTGGAGAGGGATGGACAGTTTTCCTCCTGTACAAGTCAGATCCGATTTGATGGTACACACACAAAAAAAATGTAAAAAAAAATTTAAAAAAATAGTACTTGGACACTTTCTAATTGTAGTACTTTTAACCTGGATTATTTCTGAAATAGAGGTGGAACCGTCTCTGCATTGTATTATATAGTCAGGAACATGGCTATCATAAGCACGTTTCCAAGCCGCATGTTTGCACAGAATTGTTGGGGACATTAGACAGCTGGGCCTTGCACCTCTCCTGCAGGTGAAGGCGGAGGTCGTCAAGGAGGTAGCTGCAGCCCGGCGGAAGCAGCACCTCTCATCTCTCCAGTATTACTGCGCCCTCAACGCACTGCAGTTCAGGAAGCGGATCGCCATGATGGAGCCCATGATGGGCTTTGCCCGTGGCCAGGTAGGAAGAGACCTAAGCAGGGTGTGGGGAGCAGCCGGCCCGCCTGCTGAGGGGTCACTCGGGAGAGGCACCAGCCTCAGGAGAGGAAGCACGAGGGCACACCCTCCCTGCAAGCGTCCTGCGCCTTGGCACGGGGAGAGCTGCCAGCTGAGCCCGATCGTCCTGAGCCGGCTTGGGAAGCTGTACGTGATGGAAGCAGTGGCCACGATCCCAAGCCTCCCTGGGGGAGGGGCCTGCATGGCCCTTTGTTTTAGATCCAAGTGAAAAGGCAAGCCGGCCTGGCCCAGTTTTCTTAAAAGCAGCTCACTGTTCAGGTTGGGACAGCGAGACTCATACCTCGGATTCTGCACATACCTTTACCACGCGCATTATAAGAACCTGCACCTCGGCTGCTTCCTCTCAACTGTGTGTGGTTGAGGAACCTGCCAGCACCTTGGGATCGGGAGTGTGGGGATGTATTCCTCGCTTCTTGGTGGCCCTCTCAGTTCTCAGGGACTGCATTTGGCTTCTTTCCCTCTCTTTAGGAGCTTAGTGTCGTAATGCAAACAGTACAGATTGTCCTGTTGACTGGAAGGTTAGCTGTTCAAATCCTCCAGCTGCTCTGTGGGAGAAAGACGAATAGTCTCCTCCATAAAGATTCCAGGCTCTGGAGGGTTGCTGTGAATTGGAATAAAATAAGTGGCAACGAGTTTTTTAGGTTTTTCCATCGACTATGTGGTCTACTGAATATTTCTCTCCTTTTAAAAGATTTCTAAGAACTGTGATTTGAGTGCAAGGTTATAAAGCAGATCAGTTTACCACTCAACCACTCTTGCAGATTTTGCTTTATAACATTAAATGTAGTATCTACAATGTCACTGCACATCCCTGGCATACGCCCTTCCCAGTTTTGAACCATGCAGTGTTTCCTTGCTCTGTTCTGACAACTGCCTCTTGGTCCAAGTATAGGTTTCTCATTAGCACAATCAGGTGTTCTGGGATTCCCATTCTTCTCAATGTCAGCCACAAATTTGTTATGATCCACACAAACACTTTTACATAGTCAATGACACACAGATATACATTCCTGTTATTCCCTACTTGCAGCAAAGATCCATCTAACATTAGCTATAATGTCCCTAGAACCATGACCCCTTCTAAACCCAGCCTGGACTTCTGGCAGTTCTCTGCTGATGTGCTGTTCCATCTGTTTTTGGATAATCATCAGTAGAATCTTGCTTGCATGTGAAATTAATGACATTTTTCTATAGTTTCCACACTGTTGAGTCACCTTTCTTTGGGATGGGAACAAATATAGATCTCTTCTAGTCAGTTGGCCAAGTGGTTGTTCTCCAGATTTCTTGGCACAAGTTGGTGAGCACATCCAGGGCAGCATCTGTTAGCTGAAATATGTCAATTGGTATACCGTCTATTCCTGGGGCCATAAAAGTGTGTGTATGTATGTATATATGTATGTGTGTGTGTGTATATATATATATATACACACACACACATATACACTTGTCATATATTTTAAAAATAAATGTTTCAGGAAAACCACCTCAGTTTAATTTTGGGAAAAGAGGGACAAGGTAAGATTTTTTTTAAAATCCAAGCTCAATAGTCTATAAATGCTTTGTTCATTGTTCACTAGTGACGGCACTACCATTAGTGTCCTCTTTCTGTGTCGTCTGATTGAAGCTGAGTTAAAGCAAAGAACACAAGCCAGCACCAGCTGTGGGCTGCTGCAGTCCTTGGGAGCCGCCCAGCTTCCTGCCTTTTTATCGGTTCATTTGACCTTGAGCTTTAATGCCCTTGGTCACATGTGTAAAGAGGCCAGTATGGGGGAGTTCAATTCCAGAACCACAGGTAGAAGCAGGGTCCTCCTGACTTCATATCTAAGCAAAATTAACTGCTCCAGGCTGCAGGACTTAGGGAACCTGCTTGGCTGGAAGAGAAGGAAGGTCCTTCCAAGGCTGAAAGGATGACAGCGGCATGGCTTAATACCAGCTGGCTTCACTGTGTTCTGTTGTCAAGGAAGAGACCCCTCCTCCCAGCCTGGACTTTTGTTTTATGGTTTGGGTTTTTTTGCTTTTGGGTGTTTTTTTGTTTTTGTTTTTATTGCTTTGCTTACAGAGTTCATACACATTGTGTTTCACACTATTCTTCATTACATTGTGTTTTATGTGCTCATTCTCATGCATTATGTTTTCTAAAATCAGTCACTGTGGGACCTTGCCCATCATGACCCTGTCTTTTTGCCCGGATCCTTCCCATTTCCCTCCCCCTCCCCTCCACCCATCAATCTGGACTTTGTGAATGACTGTTGCTGGCCATAGTGGCAAGGGGAGCCCTGGGTGCAGGAGCGTAGGCACAGCCGCTGAGCCCAGGAGACAGCGCAGAGCACGCTGGCCCTGCTGACGAGCAGGAGGAACGCTTTCAAAGCCTGAGAATAGCACGTTCTATTTTCACATGAAAAACATCTAGTTTTCCAGACACAAGACCTCGTAGTCTATCAAGGCGTTGCAGTCCTTGGAGGAAAACATGCTGGGCATGGCAGAGGGTCAGCAGAAGGGAAAACACCCTCCGTGAGGTGGGTCGACACTGAATGTGGCAGTGGGTTCCAGCATGGCAGAGAGGGCGAGGGGGGCACAGCACGGGCTGAGGTTCCAGTCTGTTGTTCACAGGGTTGCTGTAGATCATAGTCAACTCAACACCTGACAACAATAAAAGCTGTCATCCCCCCGGACTATGTGTTCAACACCCTGAGTCTTTGGGATGATGTAGAAGAATCTGCTCATTGTCATTCTGCTCTGCCTTTTAAAATAAGCATATACTGAGCACCCAGCGTTGTTAGCGAAAGGTTGTATGACATCTGCGCTTCCTGCTGTCTGTGGAGGCACACTGAGTCGAATTGTGTTCAGTGACTCAGGCTTCTCAGAGCCTCGAGTCTTTGTGGAGGAGTGTTGACTTTATGCTGCTGTGAGCCTTGCTGAACAGGTTTTCATTTATGTCGGGATTCAGTCCTGCTGCCTGCAAACAAACTCAGGTTTCATAATCTGCACATAAGCATTCACCTGGTTATGAACATTTGCTGTATGTACAGTCCACAGTTACACACTAACCCTTGTAAAGCCTCAGATCTCAAGAATTTCATAATGACAGTCTTTCATGACAGACAGGTGCAACCTTGCATTATGCATCAGTATTATGTTCTTGTTTCAGTGTAGCTGGAAGTATTTCTTTAATATTTTCTACTCATAGAAAGGCACCCTGTCCACTCTATACTAAGACAAACATTGAACTAACTGATATTAGATCCAAACTGTACCTAACTGTTCTGACAAATTCACCTTAAAGGCCGATTTAGAAACAGAACTCATTTGTAATCCAGGTTCTGCGCGTCTGGGTTTATAAGGATGAAAATGAAGCCTCGTGTTGTGTACTCAGAATAATAATTGTGGAATGGGGCTGGACGTCAGTATCTTGCTCTTTCTTTCCATTCATTCGTTCATCAGATGTTCTTTCAGAGTTCATATGAACACCTGCCCTAGGAGCTTACTGAACAGTAGATGAGGATTTATGATATACATTCCAGAGATGTTCAAGGAGAGGAGGGTCCAAGTAGAAGTCATCATGTTGTGCCTTTATAAATACAAAATGCCCATTTATCAGGCTTTGAGATGTGTGCATGGTTTATGTGTGAGGTCGTGGACCAGAACATCTTCCTGTCTATCACTTTGCACTGAAAAACCAGTTGCCATCAGCTCTCGGCCTCTGCATGTGTTTGTGTAGTACAGCTACGCCCAAGAAGGAGAGCTCGGGTTTTGCTGTGAAGCTTCTCTAGGCGGACCCCTCGAGGTGGGCTGGGGCTGTGAAAGAGCTAAAGAGGTGCTGTGGAGGGGACTGACCCTGTCGGCAGTGAGGGACCCCCAGCCAGCGTCAGGTGCCCCGCACTGTCACTCAGGCTGGGTGGATTCCCTCCTCACCTTTCTGAGAAGATTTTCAGAACGCTATCATTCTCTTTCAGATTAACTTCTTTAAGAAGGGAGCAGAGATGTTTTCCAAACGCATGGACAGCTTGCTGTCGTCCGCTGCAGACATGGTTCAGAGGTAATGCTGTGCCTCGACTCGTGTGTGTCCTCTGCCTCCCACTGGGTCGAGTGGGGGTGGCCTGCTGGCTGCTGTGGGTCACTCAGCGCCCTGTCCCCTCTGTTGATTCCTGGAAGCAGCGTCCTCACCTTAGCTGCTGACATTTGGGTATACTGCTGAAGAGAGATGGTTTCTGCACTTCCTGGCCTCTGTGGCGCCCTCAGTCCTGCCCGTATGTTCTCACAAGGCTGAGTAGCAGCATGAGACGTCAGCCCACAAACTTCCTTAAGCATCCACCCCACCTTCAGGGTCTCCTCCTAGAAATAAGTCATGGTTCACACATTACAAGCATATGAGGCCCGTTTTGTTTTGCTGTGGACTTAAGAGAGCTTTTGCTTTTCTTTTTGAGAGCTAATAGGGCTAGCAGCCAAAAGTGCCGGAACTTTCTAGGAAACTAACCATCACATTAATTTATAACAGTCAAGATTTTAAACTCCTTTGGAGTTCATTTGACACAAGGCTTTTCCGTGCTTGTTTCTGTAAGTACGGCCTCACTCTGCTGACTCCTGCCCACCCTGAACTGAGCCCTGGCTACCCCAGCTTCACTGCCCGCCTGCCACTGGCTTCCAGGAAGGAGAACCGGGAGCCTCACAGGCACCCAGCATCAAGTCCTTTTACTACGTGTGGTTCCTGAGCACCTCTTGTGATTTCCGGAGTGTGGAAATACAGTTCTGCTTAGATCCACCTCATAAATCTATCAAATGGACATCTCAGGGTAGAATTGTATTTCATGCAGAAAAAAACAAAGAGAAAATGGCTAATTGTCATAGGCAAGTTTCATTTTAAAATGGAAAATGGAACATTTTCCTTCTGTAGACCAGTGAACGAGACTGATATAAGCAAACATCTGCCTGAAATTTCCTGAAAATAAACAGTGAATTCACAGAAAAGCCAGGGCTGAGCGTTTTACCAGCAAGAGAGAGGGGATGGTGGCTGTGAGTGCATAATCCTTCCGAGAGGTCGCGGAGCAGGTTATTTCCCGAGAGCTGGTAGCAGGGATGATGCCAGGTTAGACTTCCAATTATACAAATACTTGTGAAATGTAATTGCTGTTTCCTGTCTTCTAATTTGTTGCTGAGAAGGAGAAATAAGAGGAGGGCCGTGGTGTTGTCCACTCCTCACAGGCCTTCCTCTCTTTTTACCTTCCTCTCTCTGTCCCCTTCTCATCCGACTTTAACTCACAGAATTCCATGGCCCACCTTCCGTGTCTCTGGGGGAACCATCTAGGCGTCGCCCTTTTTCAGGGACCTGATGTGCCTTATTAGTGGGCAGCAGGTCATTTGTGTCCATATTTTTGAGGGGCGTTCGTGTGTCCTTCCTGCAGACTCTGGAGCCCGTCGTGTCTGCGTCGCCCTTCGTCAGCGTTTCCGTGAACGGTCATTACAGCAGCCAGAGTGCTGGCCAGCCCCGCCTGACAGGACTGTGACCAAGAGTTACAGTCAGAGCGGCCACAGGGCCAGCTCGCTGTGGGCTGGGTTTGATTCCATGAGTCATCCCTCTGCCTCCCGACAGGGTTTGTTTGAGAGAAACAGACAGCAGGCAAGGTGCCCAAACAGAACTTTGGTCCTGGGTAGGAATTCTGATATTCCTGTGTGTATTGGTGAGCAGATAAATAGTGCCAGCCTTGCTGCCACATCGCCATCCCTTATCAGCCAGCCTGCCCATCACAAACTCTGGACTGGACTCACTGGTGGCCCCAGAGCTTTGATGTCATCTCCCCGGCATGGATATTACGAGTGCTTGGCTGTACTCACCACGGTGGAGGGAATCTGGAAGCCAGCCTTAATCCAGACAGAATGCCTCTTTCAACTCAGTCCACAGGACCCGGGGTTCCCTTTTAGCCCCTAACACCATAGGGATACATTCTCTCTCTTTTTTTGGCATCTTTCATTTTCCAGGAAGTATAAAAGTAAAAAAAGGGCCGCCGTCCTTTAATAAAACATTGAGCAGCCAGGCTCTTTTCTACCCTGGTTCCTTAGTTCCCGGGACCCTCAGATTAGCCACTCACTGATCTCTGGAGTAAGGTTTGGAAGGAACAGTAATCATACACTCTCTGAAATAATAATTTATACTTAAAACTTCATTTATACATGTGGATTTTCAAAGGGAAATAGCCATTATCTTTTACCAGATCCTCCAAGAGCTTTGTCTCCCATAGAAAGTTAACCCAAGTGGTTTTTGTCATCTTTGGCTTCCTTCTTTCACATGCTTACATCCCCATTCCATTCTCCTGACCTTGGCAGTGACAGACTATTGACGTTTGTTCTCCAGTTTACCTACCCTAAGGCCACCAATGGCAGAGTCCCCAGTCACTGTGTCCAGTGTCAGAACGGCCAGTCAGCTTGGACTGCTCATGCTGACCTGGATTAAACAGGACACTGTCAGTTATGCTGTGAATGGCCGGGGGGAATCACACACATACAAGCCCAAACTCAACTCCAGAACATTTAGGAGAAAAATGCCAGTGAACTCATTTTGAAAAATGTTGGACTAGCCGTACCCCGTGGTTCTGATTGCAACCTTTGTGATTCTGTCTTGTCTCCTTTGACTCAGTAGAGCAGTAAGTCAGTTTCTCTGAGTTTGTTTTCTCAGGACTATGGGCCACTTGGGGGCAGGTTGTGTTTACAACTTCACAGCCAGGACGCTAACCACTGGGCGAGGTAGCTTGTTAAGGCCTTACATTGTGGGGAAAAGGCAGTTCGCTTATTTCGAGCTGAAGCGTCCATGGTTTCAACCTCCGCTCGCAGAAGGCAAGCACTGATGTCTAGAGCCTGGGTCCTAAGCCGCTTCCCTTTCCTCAGTTCCCCAGGCCGCCCTGGGCCAGCTCACTGGGCAGACTCAGGCCGGCTTATGCCCCTTCCCTTTGTTGTTGGACACTGAACCACTTCCTGGGCCTTCCTGTCTCCAGTAATGTCTCCCGTCTTCCTTTCTACCTTGACCAAGAGGTGGGCAGAAATGTCTGCTGCTAGAGTACAACTCTTTCCTCAGGAGCACTTTGACAGGCTGCCCATACAGGTGGCCGCTGTGGTAGGCTCTTCAGTGCCTTGCCTGTGATTGGCATCGGCAGTTCTGAGCATGGCTACCATTCTGTCAGCAGAGAAGCTGTGTAGCTGGGTCCTGGCATAACCCGGTGTATTCTCTGCTCTCAGTCTCTAAAGCTGAAGCCATCAGTGCTTTCACTTGTGCACAGTTGGGTCCTCGTACACCCTCAGCTTTGGCTTAGGGTTAAGGTTCGCCACGCAGGAGGCGGTGACTCCATCTTTACCCTCCCGCCTCTCCAGCCGCCTCAGGGGGTGGGGAGCAGGTGGTCACTTCGCCATCTCCTTGGCAATGCCAGGTTTGCCAGGGAAGAGCCACTGACCTAACACCTTCTGTCCACAGCATTCAGGTGGAACTGGAAGCCGAAGCAGAAAAGATGCGCGTGTCCCAGCAAGAGTTACTCTCTGTTGATGAATCTGTTTATACACCAGACTCCGATGTCGCCGCCCCGCAGATCAACAGGAACCTCATCCAGAAGGCTGGCTACCTTAATCTTAGAACGTGAGTCTGGCTTGCCTGCCTCTCTTCTGAGAGCTGCTTTCCCTTACAAACTTTTTGTGCCTGTCCTAAATTGAGGGGGGTTGTGGGGGTAATGGGGAAGTCCTTACAGCACAAGACCACTCCTCCCCGAACCAGAGGATCCACTGGGTCTTGGGACCCAAAGGGCATCAGGGCAGGAGACATGAATAGGTTCCCAGGGCCAAAGACAGCAGAGCACTGCAGGCCGCTGTCCTCAGCCGTTTGTGAACAAGCTGCCTTTATCCTCTGTTCTCCTGGACCCCTGAGAGTTACTACCCCACACCTCTTCTGCCGTGCCACAGGCAAGAGCAGGGGACACCCCACCACAGCCCTGTGAAGGGCCAGACGCTTTAGAGGCATTTAGAGTCAGGTTGAGCCACATCCTTTGCACACGTATCCTTAAAGGTCCATTTTCAGTTAAAGCAGTGCCGTTGTTAGATGCCTTCAAGTCAGCCCACAGCAGCTCTGTGAAAACAGATCTGCACCGTGAGAGAACGTTGTCAAGGCGAGTCTCAGACTTCAGTGTCAGACTCCCTGACGGGGCTAGGCCTTGATTTCTTCATGTACAAAATGGAGATAATATTGCACCTACTTCATAAAGTTGTTTTAAAAGGCAGAGTTGAATTGATTTCTAGCAGGCAGTGAGCACTCTTTCTTAGAATTAGCTATTGTTTCTTTTTAAATTATTGAAGCGGGAGACCTAGTACCTTACACACAGTTGGTACTCACTATATGTTGAGTCAGTTAAAAGTAGGTGCCAACCCAGAGGTCTGTGGTTCAAATCCACTAGCTGCTCTGTGGGAAAAAGATGAGCAGATAACTCTGAAACGATAGCCTGCCTCTGAAAACCCTCTGGAGGGTCAGCTCTGACTCAGTGGAACACAGCATCACCCCTCATTTATGAAGAGAAATTGCCAGCTGTTTCTTATGAGGTTGTGAATTCCCCATGACCCATAAACTCACTGCGTTCATAAGCTCAGTGTTTCCCTAGTTCCCCAGGGAGAGGTCTCATTTTTCAGGGCCTTCGTTTTCCTTCCTTAAACAGCCCATGAAATAAGAATCATCTTGAGTTGAGCAAAGCCCAGTGTGTGGAGAGGCCTCAGAGACTGCGGATGTGCTGTCAGCCAAGGTGACCCTGGTGACTCTCGAGTTAGAGCAGTTCAGCTCCTGTCGTAGAGAAAGGATCTGTTTAGGGCCCCTCCTCATGGGGATAGACTAACTCTAGTTCAGATAGTGGCATTAGAGGCCTGCGTGGCTGCAGTGGGCTGGGCACGTCTGCCCGCAGGGCTGGCGCCGGCTCTGGAACAACATCTCCCACACAAACAGAACCCGTAATCCCCCAGCCCGTTCAGGCTGACTCCGTCTGCTTGTCCTCTCACGTGAGGTATTTTCAGAGCAGTTTCTTTTGAATATAAAGAAATGCTTTTCTGAAATGTCACCTGTACTCCTGAAGAGGCAGCAGGACTCGGACTAATGAGCGTTTTCACAACACCACTCTCTCAGTAAAACAGGGCTGGTCACCACCACCTGGGAGCGACTGTACTTCTTCACCCAGGGCGGGAATCTCATGTGCCAGCCCAGGGGGGCCGTGGCCGGAGGTCTGATCCAGGACCTGGACAACTGCTCGGTGATGGCGGTGGACTGTGAGGACCGGCGTTACTGCTTCCAGATCACCACGCCAAATGGAAAATCGTATGTCGTATTTAGGGGAACGAGCATGGTGACTCCCCCACGACCCTGGTTGGAGGCTTCTTAGCTCTTTCCTGTGTGGCTGCTGTATATAAGAGGGGTCCCATTTGGGGCTCTGGGGACCTTACAGGAGCACAGCTTAAGTTCTCTGTCAACAGGCACATGTGGCCTATGTGGGACCCAGCCTGCCTCATGTAAGGAACCTCCAACAGAGTAGATAGCTTTGAAGAAGAGAAGGCTAGTGTAGAAGGTGCTAGAAATTGTTTGTAGGCATAGATTGGCAGAGGAACGGGAGGCTGTGGCTGCTCCAGGACAGACACGGATGTTCCTGTCACGGTGGGGCAGCAGGACGAGTGTGGGTGAGGGCGGCCAGCCCGAGGACTGAATCTCCCCAGCTCTCACAGAGGAGGACAGCAGCGGCGTTTGTGAGCATGCCGTTCTCGTACACCCCCTGGGCCTCAGGGCCCCACAAGAGCTCATGCTTTGAACAGCAGTAGCACCATAATCACGCACAGCGTTTCCCTCCCCTGCGGGTTCCCATCACTGGGAGCCATGGCTATCCCGTTGTGCTCCAAGGAGCTCAGAGTCCCGGAGGTGCTCCAGGGCACCCCCGAGGAGTGGCCGTAGCTTCAGTCCAGGCTGCTCGGCCAGGTTTGCCGTCTGTGCTGGGCTTCTGAGGAGTTCTCCTGTTTGAAGAGTGCAGTGTTCGCAGTGGGAGAGGGAGTTGTGTTGGAACAGTGCTGAGCATCTCTTCTCTCAGACTGGCAGAGCAGTTCCAGACATTGTTCTTCACCTTCGGCTATTGGAAATAACCGAGACACCTGGTTTCTAGTCATGGCCCCCTGCAGTTACTTCAGTGCTCTGGGCCTCAGTTTCCCTGATATGAACTAGGGATAAGATTTATCTTCCTCACCTCATGTAAAGGATGTGAAGAACAAAAGAACTCACGAATGTGGAATCCTTTAAAATGCTGAGTCCTTCACAGGAGCTGGGAAAAGAAGGCTGTATCCCCTGGCCTTCCCCATGCAGGCTTTTCCATTCATGGAAATGAGTGGAGAGCTGCTGGGTCCTTCGGGTGTGATTGGGAGAAGCCACTGTGTAATCCAAGCCGAATCAACAAGTGTGGTTCTCGCCGTAGAAGCAGACTTGGGCTGGATCCACATGCCTGTTCAGGGCTGAGAAAGCTGGGGTTTACTGAGTGACCTAGGGGTGGCACAGCCAGGCTGGGAGCCCCATTTGCTTTGCTTCCATCATGCTGCCTCCTCGGCCCCTCCTTTGAGCACTTCCCCGAGTTAGCTCACAGAAGATAAACAGTCACTGAGGTCTGAAAACACTTACTTAGATGCATTTTATTTCAGGGGAATAATTCTCCAGGCAGAGAGCAGGAAGGAAAACGACGAGGTAAAGGCTTTGCTTGCTTCCCTTCTTTCCTCGTACGGTAGGTGACTTGGGGACTCAGTGTGTGTCTCTGTCTTCCACAGTGGATATGTGCAATCAACAACATCTCAAGACAGATCTACCTGACTGACAACCCAGAGGTAATTAGCAGCTGCCTGCGCCCCCGGCCCGTTGCTCAGCCTGAAAGGTGGGTGCCCATCCCCCTCCTGGACTGAGTGGCCTTCCTGTGGTTTTTTAGGCGGTTGCCATCAAGTTGAATCAGACAGCGCTGGAAGCAGTGACTCCCATCACAAGCTTTGGGAGAAAACAAGAACCCGTGTGCCCCAGGTAACTGAAGAACAAAGGCTGGCTTTTGTGCAGCCCTGACTAAGCAGGCATGTTGTGTGAATTGTTATTTAATCCTCACTCCACCCACGGGACTGCCAGCTCTTTTACAGAAACCCTGTGGCCAGAAAGGTAAATACCTTTCATACCCATGTTCATGTGACACATGAGCAGAGCCAGGAGTCAGGCCTGTCGGATTTCAGTGTCCGTGGCCTTTTCCACTCAGTCACGCTGCCCTAGGACTTGTAGTGTTGTTGTTGTTGTTATGTACCATCGAGGCAGAACTGACCCAGAGTTGGCCCTCCAGCGGGTTTTCAGGGGCAGTAAATCACACAGGAAGAGATTGCCCGTCCTTCTCCCTTAAAGCAGCTGGTGGATTCAAACTGTGTACCTTTCCATTGACAGTGCAGCTCCTTACCACTGAGCTATCAGTAAGGGCCTGTGCCTCCGCCCTCCTTGTCTCAGGATCATAGTTGCCGCAGGTTGCTCTTACTGCCTAGGCTCTAAGTACACCCATTTTTCATCTATGCATTTGCTTTGCATTTTTAGAATCTATTTTTCATAATTATACCTTATTTTGTTATTATTCTATGAAATACTAGTCCTCTCCCCTGTGGGCTATTATCATTTGTATGCTTGTGAACACTTTCACACAGCTCTCCTTTTGAATATTGCTTGAGGATGGAGTCCACAGAGCCCACCTTTTGTCTTGATGGCATTTTTCCCTTTGGTTAAATACTGGCAAACTCAGCTCATTGCCATTGAGTTAGAACCCACTTAATTGCTTACTCTCCAGCAGATTCTCAAAGGATGTAGATCACTTGGGAGGAGACTGCCCACCTTTCTCCAGAGGAGCAGCTGGTGGATTCCAACCACCTGCCTTTGGTGGCCAGTGCAACTCCGAAATGCATGGCATCAAAGTGTCCCATTTAGTGTCTCTCTTCAACTGGTAGGAAAAGGCCCAGTAAACATTTTACAGGCATTCTCTAATGACTCCAGAAGGTAGCAGGGTAACTTCCCAGGGTCTCATTGTCTCACTGTATGGAGCCAGTATCCACACCCCTAAAGGCTATGTTACATGGGAGGAATAGAAGAAATGGCCAGAAAGCAGGGGTGAACCTGACTCTGAAAGATGTGGGTCCCTCCTTTGGAGTTACAAGAAGTGGAGCAGAACTGAAAATTTGGAGAAACAGGTGACACTTTGAGAAATGGGTTTAGAAGGGTTATTCCATAGCGCTAGAGAGGAAAGATTCAGGGGCGGCAAATGGGCCAGTAGGAGGACCTACAGGATGTTGCTGTGGTAGTATAGCTGAGTGGAGGGAACATGAGAACCTGCACAAAGGAAATAAAAATGGGCGAGAGTTGGCAAGTCTTGAGAAAATGGGATAAAATGTAAAGTTGTCTATTTATACAAGGTACACACGTCTTAAATGTCGCTCCTAGGAAAGCCCCACACAGATGTAACGAAAGTTGAATTAACCCTGAGTGAATCTGTTCACCTTCTGTAAGGAGTTTGTAAATCTACAAGAATGTTCTGCAGGCAAGGTGGAGAGTGCGCTGGGCTTGGGGTGACGAGACCTAGTGACAGCTTTGCCTTGAACACAGCTCCCCTCTGGTCATGCAACTGTTAGGGACTTGGTTTCCTCAACTTTGTTTAGGGTGGACATGAGAAACTAGACGACCCCTCCAGATTTAATTAGTGCCAGTAATCAGGGCGTGCTTGGTTTTCTTCACAAAAACACCATTTGCAGCTCAGGTTCAACTATAGAGACTCATTCTAGAACTGGGTTTTCTCCTTTATTCTAGAAGAAATGAGTCATAGTTTCACACTGAAAGGACCCCATAGAAGGGACACTGAAGAATATCTGAAAAATATTAAGTCTAGCCAGCTTGCTGAATTCACCTGAATATTGAAAAGGTAACAGACGTGGCTGCCACATGACCCCAGAGCTACGTGCACTCCATGTGAGCGTGTGTTTGTGGGCACATGTGGGCACACACAGACATACGTACACTCCCTGGAGACAGTTTCCTGTCTTTCTCAGGGTTACCTCATTAAAAGGAAAGAAACTTAGATGGTAGTAAAGGAAGGAAGGGATTTCCTACTAAGCAAATAGTGTGTGCTGTATAAGAGTAAATAGAACTTAGCTGTAGTCCCTCCCCCGCAGAAACGTGGCTCACTTGAGAAGATGCAGGAAAATGACTGTCCAGTGTCCTAAGTATGGAAGCCCAGTGCAGAGAATTGAGCTAAAGGTTGTTAACAAAGATCATGAAGATTGATCTGTGGACTCAATCGAAAGATGGATTGAAATCATGCCCCTTGTAATTTTATTTGTAAAAGTCCTATGTCAACATTGAAAATATAGACATTTCAGAAGGTTAAGAGGGGTTGGCTCGATGAAGTTTTCTCTTTTTTCACACTCCAGTCAGAACCTGAAAAATTCGGAGCTGGAAAATGACAAGGTTGTGCCCAGAGTAACGGCCAGTATCCCCGAAGCCGAGCAACTGATAGCACCTGGAACACCTATTCAGTTCGATATTGTTCTTCCTGCCACAGAATTCCTTGACCAGAACAGAGGGAGCAGGTAGGGGCTGACAGAGGTGATCTCTGGCAGAAACGAAAAGCCCTGATGTCTGTTGAAAACACAAGTTCATTTGTTTACTGTAGCTCAAGTGTTAGCTTTTGTTTTCCTTGAAACGGTCGCTGACCGCTGACTGTTTGGCTCCTGCTATTGTAGGCGGATCAACCCTTTTGGTGAGACTGAGGACGAAACGTTTCCAGAAGCAGAAGGTAAGGAGGGGCAGGCTTGGTGGTATCTTCTTGCTTCTGACGAAAGTGGGAGACCCCGTTCTAGGGGATTCTGACTGGGAACTTGAACGGAAACGAGGACCCTCAGATGTGTTGTTCTGTGTGAAAACTCATCGAGACACATTCCACGAGGACGGGTTTTGGACAGAAACTGAGGGGAAGTGGAAGACTCTTCTACAACAGTTCCCGTTAGTCTCGGCTACACCCTTTCTGTAACTCCTGCATTTTGCCAAGTCAAAATCTGGAGTAATATTATAGCAAAAGTCAGTTCAAAGAAGATGAAACGATCACATTAAAATGCATTTTTGCTGAGTCATGAAGTAAGCCTTTGTTTTAGGAAATGAAAAGCGCAGACAGCAGCTCCTGACACGTATCACTGGGTTCAGATTTTGTTGTTTTGAGTTACAGTCTTAGAATAAACAACAGAACCTACTAACCAGCCCTACTTCTCAGCTGTGCAGAAGCTGCTTTCCCGGCTAAGGCTGTTCCGTTAACTGGAAGCCAGAGACGATCTCACCTTAAGAGCTTCCTGACCGGAACCCAGAACATCTTTAGCAAGAAGCTCAACTTACTTAAATTTACGAGACTCGAGAATTAGCTGTTGCCATTCCTTACAGCTTTTAGGGGAGGAATTCTTTCTGTATGATGTTAATAGGCTTGTTCATCCAAACATACTAGAGCACCAGCAGTATTATGTATGTTGTTGTGTGCTGTTGAGTCAGAACCGACCCATAGCTGACCCTCCAGTGGGTTTTCAGAAATGGTTAATTGCCCAGGAGGAGACTGCACATCCTTCTCCCACAGAGCAGCTGGTGGATTCGAACCACGTGCATCAGGGATTGCATCACAGGTCTTACTACTAGGCTACCAGAGCTCCCTATAAATATCCCATAGAGAAAAGGAATCTTAATACAGAAGGTTGATAACTTAATAAATCTTCATATGGAAGTGACAGTTTATAACAATATTTAAGTAAAGTGGGAATTCTCCCAGCAGTGGGTTCTGCCTTTGATTTTCGTTGGTTTCCTTGCCATTATCAAGAAACCTATTACTGGCATTTCATCAGAATAAAATAGCCCAAAGATTTTCGTCCAAGATCGCTGTTTGTTTTTGAACTAGCGTTAACTGTCCTCCTAAAATAAACTCACAAAACTCGGCTGTGAGCCTGGAGCCCACTCCTCGCGTCTGGCTGCTGAGTTTTCCAGAGATTGTCAGTTGCACTGGAGATGCTGATCTTTTTCCTGGTGGGTTCGAACTGCCAGAGAGCTGCTGCCTTCAGTGAGCAGCGTTGCGCCCTACACACTGCACCACCAGTGCTCCCAATTGGTTTTTCCTTTAATAACATTTCTGTAAATTGGTCAAAATAATGAATCTTCCGCTGACTACTGGAAGAGTTTTTGGGGTTTGCTCTCCCCCCCCCCCCAGAGAAAAGGTGAGATTTTTGTTACTTCCTTTTTGTTACTTCCTTATAGTCACAGAGCGCCCCCTTGGGAAGAACTAGAACTAGAGTATTTGTTTGCTTGGATTAAATCCCCACCTCTTTTTACATTTTAATTTCATTTAATTCTGTGGTCCTGCCATCTCATCTTATAGATAAGGTACAAGAGCAGCCTTTCTAATTTGATGAGGCCGTTCCAAGCATATTGGCTGTATACAGTTGACAGAAGACTCTGAGTTTGGCAATTTAGGTTTTCTAAAGGTAGTATTGTTAACTTTGCCAAAAAGCTCCTTGTGGAAAGTAAGCAAAGCCGGGACCCCATCTGACGTGGGCTGAGATGAGCAGCGGGCGGGAAGTCCCTGCGGCCCTGAGTGCAGTCGCTCTCTTGCAGATTCTCTGTTGCAGCAGATGTTCATAGTGCGGTTTCTGGGATCAATGGCAGTTAAAACAGACAGCACCACGGAAGTGATTTATGAAGCCATGAGACAAGTACTGGCCGCCCGGGCCATTCATAACATCTTCCGCATGACAGAATCCCATCTGATGGTCACGAGCCAGACCCTGAGGTACCTTCCACGTCTCTCTCAGACTTTCCTCCACCTTCATCTGAATCTCTGTTAGCCACATTCATCCAGCAGGAGTACTGGCATGGGGCCTTGAGCCAAAACCGACCCATAGCCGACCCTCCAGCTGGCTTTCAGAGGCAGTAAGTAGTGCAGGAGGAGACTGCCCATCTTTCTCCTGCAGAGCAGCCGGTAGATTTGAACTGTGCACCTTTGGCTTAGCAGTGCCGCTCCCTACCACCAGGCTGCCAGAGCTAGAACTAGAATGTTTCTTTGCTTGGATTAAATCCCCACCACTTTTTTCATTTTCATTTTACCAAAAGTACAGGATAAAAGATGCTTCTCAAAGATAAGAGCTGGAATGTTTAGGAATTCAGTTGTGAATACGTAAGATTGCTCATGAAGATGTCATCTCTCCCTAATTATGTATTCTCTTAATGGAATTCAGAGATTAGAGGCTGCACAAACCAGAAGATGTTCTGTTCCAAACTCGACTATGATTTTCAATAGCATATCTGAAAATTACTCAGAAAACATGATGTACATGTGTTACATTTTCCCTTGTAGAGAAACTTCACACAATTGAATAGAAGAATTATCCCAACGTAAGAAAACATTTATGATGTATTTAGAGAGCTCTGTGGGCTCAGTGGTAAGGAACTGGGCTGCCAGTACAAAGGTACACAATTCGGATCCACCAGCTGCTTCACGGGAGAAGGATGGGCATTCTCCTCCCATGTGATTTACTGCTTCTGAAAACTCTCTGGAGGATCAACTATGGATCAGTTTTGACTTGACACTACATAATAACAACAGCCAATCCTTAAAAAAAATCATTCCAGTCATACCCATTTATGTTGTTGTTGTAGAACGTCAAGTCAGAATCAATCCAAAGCTGAAAACCAATCCCAGCAGGATTGGTGAATCTCACGGGAGGAGATTGCTCCTCCTTCTTCTGTAGAGCATCTGGTGGATTCGAACCTTTGCAGTGGCAGCCCTGTTCCTTACCACTAAGCCACTAGGGCTCCCTTGCACATTTAAGTTGTTGCTGTTAGACATTGTCAAGTCAGATACGACTCATAATGACCATATGAACAAGAAGTCTTAATAGTCTCCTGTCCTTTGCCGTCTTCAGTCTGTGACACTCAAGCAGTCACTGCGTCCTCCTTTCCTTCACCATCCCCCTACCGTTCCCCCACCATTCCGAGCATGATCTCCCTCTCGAAAGAATAGCGTCTCCTTGCAACTTGCCCAGAGTTTGTGCGATGAGGCTTCTCCATCTCTGCATCGAAGACCTCACTGGCTGAACTTTCTCCGACTTACAGGTGTTTGTTCTTTTAGCATTCTGTGAGATACTCAGTATCCTCTACCACCACAGAGCAAAGACTTCAATTCCTCTGTCCTCCCTATTCATTGTCCAACTCTCAGATGCATGGAAGTGATAGAAAAGACCATGGTCTCAGTCAGGTGCACCACCCCTCTGTCATGTGGGGAGGTCCCTGGCTGCAGACGTTCCTAGTGTGAGAGAAGTCTTTTAGATGCACATAAGTAAAATTCAGCCTGTATACTTCAAGACTTTTTTTTAAAAAAAACTGCCTCATCGCTGACTCCGCACTGGGTTTCTAACATTGCCCATCTTCCCCCCCAGAGATGCTGGTGCATTTGAGCTGTTAGAGAAGTTAGTAGTGCAGCTTCTTACATGCTGAGCTGCCAGCGTAGTTTAAAGACACAGTTAATTCCAGTTGATGATTGTGACCACAGGAGCCTGCATCTCTTTAATAATGCAGTCTGTCTTCCTGGGTCTGTCCACCTGGCTAGTGAGCTCGGTGGCTTTGTCTAAATCGGGTTGTGCTGTAATCCAAAGGTGGCTTCTCGCTCCAGTTCGAATCCACTAGAAGCTCCACAGAAACATGGGCTGCTTCTCCCTTGTGATTTACAGCCTCTGAAAAGCCCACGTAGGGGAGAGGGGACAGCTGTGAGTGAGATCTGACTTAAGAGCAGTGAATTTGAGGGAGTTTTTTTGGTTCCACATGATTATTAGACGCTCAATAAAGAATTTGTATCAGACTGTTATTGTAAACATTATCCCACTTACACCAGACTGATGTAAAATTTTTGGCAAAATCCATTAGCTGGTTCCTCAGTGTGCCCTGATAGTTAAAAAAATGATGACCCGTCAGAGGAAACAGAGTGCCAGGGAGTGCTTCTGAGGAGACTGTACGGATTATGGTCCGGATTACGGTCCGTCTGTCTCATACAGCGGCACTGCCGGGAATCACGGTGCTGCCTCTTTTGTAAGCACCAGAATATGGCTCGTTTCTTTCCTGCCTTTGCTGTAAGCTCCCATTTCGAATGCCCTGTCCTAGAACCAGCCGTGTAGTCCACTCTCTAGATGGCCACGTTGAGCTAACACCCTAATCTCAACCAGGCTCTGATATTTTCATCAAGGGCAATCTGTGTGACTTCATTCAGAACTTCTTCAGGATTTTCTAAGAATATGAGTTTATCCAACATATATGACATAACAAATCTCTTCAACTTTCAGGTTGATAGATCCTCAGACTCAAGTAACAAGGGCCAATGTAAGTACACTCATACTTACTAATACTAGCGATTACTCCTGGATTTGCCTGTGTATCCACTTTAAACTCAAAGCTTCTAATAAATACTTAACCCAATTTAAATGACGGTCACTAATGAGACCTTTTTCCTGTGGAAAATGACCTTGCTGTGAATGAATGCCAGTTGTGAAATTCAGCCTTGTCCTTTGTTTCTCCCCAGTTTGAACTTACCAGCATCACACAGTTTGCCGCTCATCAAGAAAACAAGAGACTGGTTGGCTTCGTCATCCGCATCCCGGAATCCACAGGAGAGGCATCTCTGAGCACATATATTTTTGAAAGTAACTCAGAAGGCGAAAAGGTCTTGTTATTTGTTCATGTTAAGATCTCTAATCTCTCGTTCCCTATAAGCCACTTTGAAGGGGAGCTTCCACTCCCCCTTAGGTGTGTAGTTGAATTGTGTACACATGCCCACTCAGGAGTTTAGGTAATAGTTCCTGCGAGTCCCTGAGTATAGCAAAGTGACTGCTTGATTCTAGCCAAAAGGTTACCAGTTCAAACCCACCCATAGACGCCTGGTGAGACAGCGTTGAGATGAGCTTCCAGAAGGTCTCAGTCTTGAAAACCCTCTGGAGGGGTTCTGCTCTGTCCACAGGGCACCAGCAGCTCGCCAACAGCTCAGTACAGGGCAGCCTCGTGGAAAGAGTCGGACTTAGAATGTCTCCTTAGAAGGATGCATGTCAGCTCCTGCAGGACGATAAACACCCAGCAGAGCAAAGGCAGAATGTCACTGTGCCGAGTCACCCGATTCATAGCTGACCGCACAGGCGTTTTCAGCTCTCCAGGCACGCGGGGCACTGCTCAGCCTTCGCTGCTGGGCTTGAGCTGCCCGAGGCTCCACCTTCGGTTAACAGCACTCGCCCCACCTACTGCGCCCCCAGGGACTCAGTGGCACGACAGAGTTATTTCTTAGAAACCTTCTTTTTAGTAAAATAGGTGTTCCCCTATAATTTGTTCTTCTCATGAAAGCAAAAATTACAGCGGAAATCAGGTAGTTTGGGAAAGCAAACCCAAGAAAGATTTACCTCTGGGAAGTGCATCTCTAAGTTGATCTTTTGTTTCTTGTGAAAACGTCTGACTGCATTTGCTATTCAGAATTAATGAAAATCATCATTCATCAGTCCTCCTGCATGAGTGTGGGTTAGACCGAAAGGAAACGAAATGAATGTCCTCTCAGGAATTTGAAACACTAGAATAACCTGGGTTTCCACTTCTTTTAGTGTGGCCCGACTTGTCAGCTGGCCAGGCCCATTGAGAACCCAGACACCCTGTGCCAAGACTACATAGGGGTCCTGTGTTCCCATGTTGACAGGAGCAGACAGTGACCTCACTGTACATCAGTAATAAAATTTTATTGTCTTTCTAAAATCCTTTATCCTGTCTTTGCCAAACACTGTCTTTTTTTTTCTTTTGCAGATATGTTATGCTATTAATTTGGGAAAAGAAATTATTGAGGTTCAGAAGGTAAGGTGTATTTTGGTGTTTAACAGCAACTGAAAAGAATGTGTACACACACTTAAGATTTCTCTCCTAAAGCAAGCCGCTGCCCACTACACAGTGCTGCCAGGTTACCGATTTCCTTCCGAGCCTCCTAACCCCAGACGTTTCCAACTCGCTGTTTCCAGTCTCTGGTAGCACACGCGAAGCTCTTAGTATGTCACCACTGTGGCTGCTGCTTGCTTTTAATCTATCTTCTTGCTTGCAGACTAGCTGGCCAGCTACTCCTTCCTTTCAAATTGACATTGTCAATACCTAAGTGGCTGCCTCCTCCTCAGACTGTCAGGGGGTGAGCACTGACAAACACTGCTTGCAGCACTAGAAACTGAGATGCTCAGACTCCATCTTGGCAGCCTACAAGCTCTCTTCTGTTGAACAAGCTTTTGAGAGCTTAGTTAGTATTAAAAAAAAAACACCAAACACCCTTTGTTATTATAACAGTGAACAGGACAGGATCTCTGCCCTGCATAGGCCTTGTGATTCAGCACCAGTCTGTAGAAATTTATGTAGAGTTGGAATCTCTAGCTTCAGTACTGTCTGTCTAAAACATACATTGAAATGTGGCTAGAGGGACTGAGGAGCTGAATTTTTTATGTAAGTCTATTTAAATTTAAACATTAATATAAACTTAATGGCTTCCACATTAGTCAGCACAGTTCTGGTCGGTTAAGGGAGGAATGGAAGACCACAAGCTCTTATTTACACACAATAAAAGCAAGCACTCAAGGTTAGTATTTAGTGGTACAGATCAGAGGGTGGCAAACTTTTCTGTGAAGAGCTGGATAGTAAGGGTTTAGGCTCTGCAAGCCATACCGCCTGATTGTCACACCTTATAAAATGAAAGCATCTATAGACATTATAGAAATGAAAGGCCATAGTTGTGTCCCAGTAAAATTTATTTGTGAAAACAAGCAGTGGGCCCACTGGCCCAATTCCCAACAACTAGTAGAGCAGAAGAGAAAATAAGGAGATTGAATTACATGTTTTGTGAAGGAAGTTCCTCTGTGGGTTCTTGGTGAAGATGGTGAGGATTTAGCTCTGTAAATGGCCTCGTTTCTAGAGGCAGGATGATAATGGGCATGAGTGTTTTTCCAAGGCAGCACAGAAGTCCACCAGAAGTCACTCCCAGACAAGAGGATTGAGGTTAGCTGACAAAGATGCTGAAAGCCAGACCACAGGGGTTTCAAGTGCATCTGAAGCTTTCTCTTTTTCCCCCCCTCTTAAACTCTCCTAACTTCAGGACCCAGAAGCGCTGGCTCAATTAATGCTGTCTATACCACTAACCAATGATGGAAAATTTGTACTCTTAAACGATCAACCAGATGACACTGATGGAAGCTCACGTGAAAACAGAGGCGCAGAGTCTGAAGCGTAACTCACAGGCACCTCTGGGGGAAGAGCGCCCGGGGAGGAGAGCTCCGTCCTTAAGGGTTTCCAACTTCTCTGACACGCAGGCGCACTAACCCGGTTTCAGAACGCTGACCACCACGGATCAGACTCGCAATGCCTTGAGACTGAGACTTGGGAGGGAGACAGTAAGAAATGCTTGACCACACGTTTCTGCTCATCTACCAATGTTATTTTAGGTGCTTCGTGGTAAGTCCTTTTTTTAGACTGCACTGTTCAGCATTCAGAGAGTTATGAAAAATGCATTGTTCACTTTATTTGAATGTCCTCTCATCAGTTTCTAATATCCTTTTTAAAAACAGAAAACTACAAAAGCCTAGATTTGCGATTTGATAAAAGAAATACTAAAATATTTCCTATTGATATAATCTATTTTTGTATTTTACTTAATGAGCTTTAAGTGCCTGTCATTCTGAAGACGGTATTATTTATCAACCAGCTCTTGTCGTGGTTGGACCTGCTAGCATTCACTTGTGCAGTGCGAGGGCCGAGAACTGCACTGAGGTTAGAGACCTAGCACACATGCTGGTGTAGTGGTGGTCACGGTTTCAGAAATCATGCAATAAAGAGATGTGCAGGGGAGCTCTGCTGGCCTAGTGGTAAGGAGCTGCAACTACAATCCCAGAGGCGCATGGTTCGAATACACCAGATGCTCTGCCGGGGAAGGAGGGAAAATCTCCTCCTGTACCAGTCAGATTTGATTTGACGGTACACTCTCTCTCACACACACACACACACACACAAAATAATAAAATAAAAAAATTTAAAAAAAAAATGAGGAGATGTGCAGACGAGCCCCACTTACTTATCTTTACATTGGTACCTTAGTGAAGCAGCTCTCAGAAGTTTAGGGTCCATTTGGATAAGAGGGGAAGGTTAGCGGTGGCCCAGTGTGGACCGATGCAGCCCTACCAAGTGCTGTTCTGAGCCAGATCCACCTCAAGGAAGGGATCAGTTTTTAACACGGAACTTGAAGCACAGCCGGTGGTGGAGCTTTCGCCCTGACACCTCTGGTCCCCAGCGTCCCAGCCTCCTTGGGTCAGGCCAGCCATTCCCTCCATCTGTGAAATAAGTAGCTGAATATAAAGCTCCTGAATTGGTACAGTGTGTCTAATTGTAGCCATGTTCAGAGTATCATTGTCTTTTTAATAGATTAACCTAGCAATACATGCTAACAAATAAAAGCTGTCATTCTGTTTCTTTTGGTTTTGGTCGTTATTTTCCACAGTATGTCCAGAAGAAACTAAAGTTGGTTCTGCAGGTTTAACAATTAAATGTTCCCAAACAAACTACACACAAGGAAAACATAGCAGATATATATTGTTGCGACTCATAGCGACCCTATGTACAACAGCCCTAACCCCTATTCTATCTTGTGCCAATCGCACTGTCTCCGACACCCATCCCAGTTACCCCAGTCACTGAATCAGTCCACCTCATAGAGGGTCTTCCCCTCCTGCACTGTCCCTTCACCCTCCCAACCATGATGTCCCTCTCCAAGGACCGGTCCCTCCTTACAACATGTCCAAAGTATGTCAGACGAAGCCCCAGAATCCTTGCCTTCAAGGAACAGACCTGTTTAACCTTCTCCAGGATGAATGTGTTGGTTTTCTTAACAGCCCATGGTATCCTCAGTACTCTTCTCCAGCACCACAGCTCAAAGGCATCAATTCTCCTTCTATCCTCCTTAGTCATTGTCCAACTCTCTGATGCTTAACAAGTGATTGCAAAGACCGTGGCCTATATCAGATGCACCTTAGTCTCCAGAGAGACACCACTGCTCTTTAGTACCCAGGAGAGGTCCCTAACAGCAGACTTTCCCATGGCAATACGTCTTTTAATTTCCTGGCTGCTGGTGCCAAGAGTGTTGACTGTGGAGCCAAGCAGACTAAAGCTGTAAACAATCTTCACCATCCATCATAATGCTGCCAGTTGGTCCAGTGGTGAGAATCTTTGTCTTCTTGATACATAGAAATTACCAAAAATACCTCAGTTTAACATGAGGAGAATAACATGATCCCATTGCCAAGTTTTTAAAAGATAATTGCTTCTCTTCTTTGAAAATTTCATAAAACAATTCTTGCAACCTTAATTTGATTTGATCCATATGACTTCACTCTCAGTCCCTCCCACACCAGAACATAGTGAGAGCTGGTCTCAGCCAGGCTGACGATGATGGTAGGTGCCACCAACTCACCTACAACCCACAGTGCCCCTGGGAACTGCAGGTCTGCACGTTGCCCTAGCTCATGGCAGCCTCATGATCTCTGTCACACTCAAGCCCTTCGTGGTGGTCACTGTGTCAGCCCATCTCATCAATGGATGAAGTTAGATCATAAAATCACTGGGGCAGAGTAGAACTGTGTGATCACCTTCCTGGTTCGTAATCATTACAGAGCTCTGGTGGCCTCCTTTTAAGGAGTTTCACTGGCAACCCAGAGGTACATGGTTCGAGAGAAAGATGGGCAATGATGAACTAACTGCCTCTGAAAACCTCCTGGATGGTCGGCTGTGAGTCACTTCCAACTCAGTGGTACAACAGTCATTACAGAAGCTAGCCAGTCCTTTGTTTCATGGAGTCAGTGGCTGGTCTAAACTGCTGACCTTTGGCTTGGCGTTACAAGCATGTATATCATAACTGAAGTAAATCAGTAGATTCTGTGACAGGTTGTAAGACCCATAACTCCTGAACTTTTTTTCCTGTCTCAGTGCGGAGATGAGAATGAATCTCGTGCCTTGAGTAATTACTAGGTTGGAAACAAAAATTAGTTTTGCCAGGAATGCATCCATCTCCATACCTTTTCAATCAATATGCAGATCATTTGGGAAGCAGGGCTTTATGAGGAGGAATGTTGCATCAAGATTGGAGGTAGACCCATCAACAGTCTACATCATGCAGATGACACAACCTTGCTTGCTGAAACTAAAGGAGACCTGAAGTGCTTGCTGCAGAAGGTCAAGGACTCTTGTCTTCAATATAGATGACTTGAAGCTCAGCATCAAGAAGACAAAGATTCTCACCACAGGGCCAACTGGCAGCACCATGATAGATGGAGATGAGACTGAGGTTGTTAACCAGTCCAGCTTGCTTGACGTTATAATCAGTAATCTTGGGACCAGTAGAAAGGAACGCAAAAGACAAATTGCATTAGGAATATTGATGCCTTTGGATTATGGTGCTGAAGGAAAGTCTTGAACATAACCATGGACCACCAAGAAAACAAACAGGTCTGTCTTGGAGAGGGTGAAACCAAGTTCTTCCCTGAAGGCTAGGATTTTTGAAGCTTCTCACATACTTTGGGCACGTGGCCAGGATAGACTGGTCCTTGCAGGGGTGGAGGGACAGTGAAGAAGAGGAAGACCCTGGATGAGATGGATGGATACAGTGATAGGCTAAGGGGGTTGGTGTGTCAGTGACACTGGCTCAGGAGAGGGCAGAGTTCAGAGCTACTGTACATAAGTCACTATGGGTCGCGGGCAACTCAGTGGCACATAGCAACACAACAAATTGTGCTCAAGGAGATTCTTTATTTCTGTCTTGTGGAGCAGCTAGTGGACGCGAACCACCTGCCTTTTGGTTGATAGCACCTTTCCTTATTACTAGTAATTGTTAGGGACTGTTGAGCCAGTTATGACTGATGGCATCCCTACGAACAACAGAGCTGAACCCTTCCCTGTTCCATGTCATTCTTATCTCTGAGATACTAGAGACTTTCTTTTGAACTTTATAACCTAAAAGAGTAGGAACAACTAACATATCGCAAGTGCATCTCTACCTATAAGAAAGTAATCATATTTACAGCACTTAAGAGTCTTGAAACTGCTTCAAAAATCAAGATTATATATTGAATGTGACTGCACAATCTGTGCAGACCACCATGAGATGATGGAGACTGAGAGACAGATATATTTATTGCCTGGGAGAAAGATAGGCAGTCAACTCCCATGCAATCAACAGCCTCTGAAAACCCTGACAGCAGTTCTAACATGACGTGGGCAGCCAGACTCCTTGTATGTCAAATCCTAGCAGGTGGTGAACAGGTTTGGGTGAAGCTCCCAGACAGAGCAGGAGGAAAAGCCTGTGATCTACTTAGGAAAACTGGCCAACGCCCTTTATTAAACAGCAGAAGAATACTGTTCAATACAGTGCTGAGCGCCATGGGCAGAGACCAGAGCTGCCAGAGAAAGGCATCCTGTCTGTTAAAGTGAGAGCCAGCAAAAATGAGGGAAACCCTCAATGACACTGACACAGTGACAACAAAAACAAACTCAACGTGCGAATGACAGGAGATGCTGAGCACCTGGCAACAGTTCAGTCTACTGTACGTGAGTTGCAGTTGACTAATTAACAATGAAAACTGGAGATACTGGGTGAGCTAGACGGTAAAGGGAAGTCACACTCTTACAGGCTATGGAATCAACTGACTCATAGCGACGCTATGCACAACAGCTCTGAACCCGGTCCTATCCGGTGCCATCCTCCCCGTTCCTGACACACCTGAGGGCACTGTCAGAACTGCTGTGTCAACCCATCCTGATGAGTCTGTCTTTTCCCTTCAGATGTGCCCAAAGCATGTGAGATGAAGTTTCACAATCCTTGCTTCCAAGGAGCTGTCTGGTTTCACTTTCTCCAAGACAGACCTGTTCTCTGTGCAGTCCGTGGGATACTCTAATACAACTCAACTAGATTCCTCTGTCATCCTTAGTCACTGTCCAACTTTCAAGTGCACAGCAAGCAAGAAGACCACGGCTTGGATTAGGCATACCTTTGTCTCAGAGCTGACATTATTCCTCTTTAGTACTCTAGAGCGATTCCTGACAGCAGATTTTCCCAGTGCCAAGTGTCTTCTGCTATCTTGACTGCCAGTACCAACATTCAAGGAATGCAGCTTTCAGTATGGATTGTGTCTCAATATCAAGAAAACAGATTCTTACCACTGGACCAATAGGGAGTGTCTTGATGGATGGAGAGAAGATTGAAAGTCTCAACAGCTTCATTTTGCTTGGATCCAGAACTAACACCCTTGGTAATGAGCAGTCAGGAAATAAGGAGACACGTTGCACTGCGAAAATCTGCAGCTAGGGACCTCTCCAAATTATTGAGGAGCAATGATGTCAGTTTGAGGACTAAGGTGCGCCTGATTCAGGCCATGGTCTTTCCGATTACTAACTATGCATCCAACACCTGGATAATGAATAGGATGACTGAAAAGAATTGATGCCTTTGAGGTGTGGTGCTAGAAAGGAGCACTGAACATCCCATGGACGGCCAAGAGAATGACTAGATAGGTCTTCGAGAGGGTGCAGCCGGAGTGCTCTTTGGAGGCATGAATGATGAAGCTTCACCTCACATACTTTGGACATACAGCTAGGAGGTGCTATTTCTTGGAGAGGGACATGATGTTGAGAAGGATAGAGGGTCGGTGAAGGCGAGGAAGACCCTCAACCAGGTGGACTGACACAGTGACTGCTGCAATGGGCTCATGTGTGTCAGGAAGTGTGAGGATGGCTCAGGATAGAACAGGGTTCAGATGTTTTGTTCATAGGGTCACTCTGAGTTGTACCTGACACGATGGCACCTAACAACAACAGTACCATGGATGTCGATAATGGATCCAAGTAAGGTGATGTCTTTGACAACATCAGTCTCTTCTTCTCCATCTATCATCATGTTGCCTTCTGGGCCGGGAGTGAGGACTTTTGTTTCCTTCATGTTGAGGTGTAATCCATATTGGAAGACGTAGTCCTTGACCCTGTGCAATGAGCAATTTAAGTCCTCACTCTAAGCAAGCAAGGTTATGCCACTGGCATAAGGCCTTCCTATGATACTGATGCCACATTCTTCATAAAGTCTGCCTTCTCAAATGATTTGTTCAGCATACAGACTGAGAGGAATGGGAATCCTAGAGTGGTTAACTGTACTCGGGCTAAAACTAAGGCCAAGAGACCGTCATGCAAACAGCAAGAAAGGTGTGCATCAAGGCTGTGTCCTCCCTCCACACCCACTCAAACGACTGAAGCACAGGAAACTTCGCCCCATTTACTCCAACTTTTTATCCACTATAAATAAAAACTTTCATATAAACTATAATTTTCCATTGCAATTTGAGTTCATTGCATATCTCATAAATTTCTATTTTGAATTCTTTCTCATTTTAAATCCTTAACAGCCTATAATGTTCCTAACATTAGAAAACCTCTGTTCAGAACTGCAGCATTAAAGCTTCCCTGAAAGGAATACCATCAGGTAGAAACTCTTCTGCACTATGCAGCTGGTCAAGAATCCTGCTAAAATTACCGTATCTGCCACCTTACCACTTAACAATCCATGGTGCCACGACCGTGTATGTGATGGTGTCAATGCATCTTCCCCAAAACTTTCTACCTTAGAAAGCATAGCAACGGTGTTTTTCTGTTAACCAAGAACAATGTGTCTAGTGTTGCACTTATTGTTTATTATTCTTTATTTCACCTAATGTTTGGAAAGAGAAATACAGTTTTTTCTAAACATATTAAACAATGCAAATTAATGATTCTTTCTCTGAACTTGGATTTAAAATAAAAAAACTTACAAATTCTTTTTATTACATATTGACAGGAGGATCAAGAACTTATAAAAGAGAGAAAAGTTGTTCATCGGTGATAAATGGGAAAGTGCCAATCGTCCCATTTCTATACTTCAAATCTCTGGCCTCTATATCAATGCAGGCCTTTTTTAAAAACAAAAACAAAAACCAAAAACCACAGATTCTTTATATATTTCATTAAAGGTGACACTGTAAAAGTTAAGAAATACTAAAGACATCCAATCCTGAACATAAGATCCAAAGAAAGAAACATTTTGAAATTCCATTTATTGTCTTTGAGTATATATATATATATATGTGTGTATACATATATACTAGATTCTACTTTTAGAAAGGGGGAGAGTGGGAAGCCCCACAGAAGTGAGGTAATAAACTATCTTATACAAAATTCATTTAGAATTGACAATGTTATGGTTAGTCCTTAATTCCTGAGAATTTGAACATCAGTAAGTTTTCTGTGAACTTAATAACAAATGCAGATATTCATTTAAAAATTACAGTATGTCTCAAAAAGTAAAAATATTAATATTTTAGCAAGAGAAACCATCATCCAAAAGTACATAATAACACCCAAGTTCTGTAGCTTGGAGTTAAATACCATTACATTTGCTTATTTCAAATATATGAATTTTTCTGTCATTTGTCCAGGCTGCAGTGACATAATTTTCAACCAAAAGTGAAACAATAACCTATCCGTTTCAATTGCAAATGTCCAGGCAGTCAGCACGTGAACTCAATCTGGTATTAATAAAACAACACATGTACAGGGTAATGAATGGAGACAACTAATAGGAATTTCTTTCCCTAGTAAAGAGGGGGATTTTAAGAAAGACAAAAACGGGGGAAATATCCTTGCTATGAACTGGTGACTAATTTTATACAGTCAAATAGAAGACCATTAATAAAACATTATAATAATGGAAATATAAATTATTAATTATGCAGCATGCTTTAGGGCCATTTCTCTAGTTAGTGTGTATGATAGGTTTTAAATGCCTTTAATCCACCCACTGTTTATAATTCTGTAAGTCATGTTTCCATATAAACAGAAAATTACATGATCTGTTTCTTCTGACTTTTAATAGTGAATGCATGTGTCTTGGGCTGGGAATATTCCATTCTAACCAATGACTACAGACAGGGCATTGTACACCTCTCCTAAAAGCTGGAAATCAAAGAACAATGTTAGAATTACCTGCAGGTCTAGTCAAAGAAATGCTCAGTAAGCAAACGCAAGGGAAAAGAATCAAGCATTTACCAAATTGTCATTTGTATATATTTAAGGTTTCAATGTTCTCCATTGTAAAGGTTTTACTGTATTAAAAGATTAGATAGACCATGATTAACCATTAAGCTTGCATACTCTTTACAAAAATAAAGCTTGCAGCTCACCAGAAACTAAATTTACTCAAAATCTTTCTGTACTTTTTGAACCAGCAAGTGATTTTATTCGAACTTTATTCTCACAGTGGTCATTTTTTAAATGCCTGCACAGTGCAATGAGATGATACTTGGTTTAAAGAAAACATATTCCCAAACCATCACCAAGATCTCATCTGAGCCTCAAGGACCTGAGTTTGGATGGAGAAATAAGAATTCATTCTGTATTCTCTGATGCTCTTCATAGTGCCTTCAACCAGAAGTGAAGCTTCACGCAGGACTATGGCTTTATTTGGATTTTCTTTCATCTTGAATATTAAGTAAATCTTAAATGTAAAGCAGTTGTTGGAGGTTAAATGTCTCTAAAGCAATGTAAACTAGTGTGAAACGCCTCCCCAGAGACATGAGCAGCTCTTGTGAGTAACAAGGGATTAAAACGCAGGGATACTCACCAGTTTCTACTGTGCTAAGGTTGCACACCACACTGGGGCCTCACCTCTAGAACCCGAGTCAGTGTCATAAATACCTCTTTTGAGAATGTGACATATGCTTCATGAATTTCAGGCTCAATTCTTGTCTTACATTATGTATTAGCTGGCTGTTACACATGGTATATGCAATGAATTGCCAATGACTTAAGACAAATATGCATCAAAGACTTCCGCAAATACAAATTAGAAGCACTCATTGATTATGGGAGATCTGAGGTGGCAGTTTAGGAATTCGAAGTCACCTTTCCAGAACTTCACGTCAGCTAAACTGTTCCTAAGCTCATCCTCTCGGCTAACATCCAGTTTTCAATCTCATTCTCCGCCTCTACAGAGACGAGCTTTTGCAAGAAGAATGGACTTAAGGGCACTGTCTTAAAAAGTTGCAACATTAAAATATCTTCCAGAGACTGACCCAGGAAACAGTTCATTAATAGCTTATCAGCATTCATTTGACTGGCAATAGCACTGACAGTTCTGATGTCACAGGAAACGCAGACCATCGGTATCATTTCACAACGGGCTCGGCAGACACTGCGCTGTCCGGGAGCTCTCCACCACTGGCTTTACTCTCTTCTGGAGGCATGAAGTGAAAACAACAACGGGCACAATTAAGGTCATTCACAGAAATGGATTAAAAACTATTACAGTTTGAGAAAAAAAATGGTCATGTTTCTAAATTTCAAATTAATTACCCACCAAATAAAAATATTCTCTAATATTACAAATTACACTTAATCTGTTTACCTTAAAAGTTTAAAGGTCTCGGTAAAATACTACAAATGTAATGTCTCGACCGGTTCTTAAAGAGAGCATGGAACAGAGACAGAACCGTGTATGGGGTGGATTTAACACAGCATGAGCTGTTCTGCTATGGAATCCCGATATCCCCTCCTCTAAGGAAAACATGCCCCCAGGCTGGTCTCCTCAGTGGGGCCAACTATTATGGTGAGTGAACCACTGTTACCGATAAACCGAGCTGCAGGCTCAAGCACACTAACTTTCCATCTGTATTTATAATTCCTTTCTGTTCATAGCTTTTTGTGAAAAATGTCCTGTGCCTGCATTTCTTTTAACAGAAAACGAGTTGATGGTATATTTGGCAATGATGCCTCACATCTATGAGCCACCGTTAGATGAAGTAGTGTTCTGAAACAGAAGAGTGACTCAGGCACAAAGCAGGACCTTAGAGCTCTCACAGGCCTGGGCCAAACAGGGGGCCGGCCACTGCCATCACACTAAGGAGTGGACTGGTTAGCTGGTTTTCTCTTAATCCACCTGCTTAGTTTTCCCAGTCTCTCGAGATAAAGACAAGGTCATGGGGTCATGGCACCATGAAATGTCTGAAAAGGTCCTAGGCGGTAACTTCATTTCTTCACATTTTAAGTTGCATCTCATTTAGATCCGTCCAGGTGGCTCTCCCTAAATATTCTCTTAGCCTTGAAAATGGTATCATAAATACTGAGCCTCTACCAGGAAGAAGGCTGAAAAGAAATCATTTTTCAAGCACATGCTTATTACAAACATGGTCCACCAAGATGCCAAAAAACGCCCAGATATGCTTCTCTCAGTAAAAAGTAACATTTGGGTTCCTTATCAGGGAAGAATAAATGGTTCTCATGAATGGTTTATCAGAGTAAGTCACCTCTCCACTCAGAATTTTTTAAAAGTGTAATTTAAAATATAACTTTTAAAATAAGACATAAAAACATCTTATTTCTAAAATGCACATTTTACATTACAAAAATTCCATTAATCAGAAGTAAGAAAAAAGGAAGATGAGTAAATGTCAGGGTCAACTTGGATGCTGTACATGATTGCGTTTCCAAAGAGCAGAAGAAAAGTCTATGGCACATTATTTTTACAACAGGAAAAAAGGAAGTTCCCTCAGCAGAGACTACTCCTTCTCAGCTTTAATATGAGAAGAATGTGTAACAGAAGACATTGGATCTGAACCAATGAGCAATGGTCTCAAGGATCAGAATGTATGGGCGGTGAGAGAGCAGCAGGGGAAGGTAGAGTCCAGGGCTTGTTAGAGCTGTGAAACTGCTGTGAGCTGCTCCTCCGGAGGACCTGTGATACAGGCACTTACCAAAACCCACAGGGCTGCACAACACCGTGAACACTCATGGAAGCTTCCCGCTTCAGTTACTAGTACTATCAGCGTTGGTGCATCAACTAACAAGTGAGCCACACCAATATATGAGCAGGAGAAACAGTATGGAGAGTTTATGAGAACACTGTACTTCTCAAATAGTTTTTCTATAAATCTAAAACTGCTCTAAAACATAAAAGTCTACTTTTGTAAAAAGGGGAGGAATCAGAGAGGGAAGTGCTCAAAAAGCTAGGATGAACACTTTCCTGCAATCCTACCCAGTATACAACGGACAGAACTCGGTTCCTTAGTGACTCCGGCTTCCTAAGTCTCTCATTTCCCCGTGTCTGAGGTGAGCAGGAGGCCGTGGAACACTAAGAGTCCCAACTCCTGCAGACCACCTCCAACACCTGTCACATCGCTTTCAGTCATTTCTGCTCAGTAGCCCCTCTGCCTTCGGCCACACTCAGGGCCCCTCTCCTATTTGTTCCTTTTAACCAGATACATGCTGAAGGATGAAAGAAAAAGGGAAAGCTCCTGAACTCACCTTAAGACAAGAGGAAACTGAGGAAGGACCTAAAGGCTACCACAGGGTGAAATGCGTAAATACCGGAGGCTTTTCTACGCTTCGTACAGGCCCACACAAGCTTCACCTTTGAAAATACTTACTCCAGCATGATTAATGTCTTCTAAAAAGACAAGGAAGGTGAAAAGGTGGCCAGATAAAAGGGAGGGACCTGCATGCGCTGCGCAGGACCAATTTACTGGTCTTTCCAAGCTTGATCGGCTCACTCACCTTCTTTCTCCTTCTTTTCCTGGTTTTCCTCTGCTGCAGTCTTGTCAGCTCTAAAGAAAATCCTTGCACTGCTCAGTGAGAAATAGAGCAATTCAAATTCCTACATAAATTGGATTTTTAAAAAGAGATAAAAGGTGAAATTATTTATTACAGCAAACTATTCACAGAACTTGTATTTTAATACCTCTTTTTCAAGTATTTTCAAAAGCCCTAGTTAAAACCGCAAAGACAGACACTAACCAAAAGTATAAACAACTTATCCAGTTTTTGGTTTTTTTTTTTTTTTCGGAACACTTCTTGCTGATCTTCTCTGTATCGTTCCAATTTTAGTATATGTGCTGCCGAAGCGAGCACGACTCATCCACTTTTTTTTTTTAACACAAAAATTGGTGTCAGGTTTAATAAAAAGTTTTAAAGGTATCAAGTAACGGCCACATCCTTTCCTTACCATCCATACCCACTCTCCCTCCATATCCTTCTTACTTGCATACATTTATTCTGGCTGTAGTCAGGGTCAGGTGTGCAAGAGGTCACGTAGCAGCTCCTAGGAAGCATTATCCCCCTAACATTGACTATGATTCAAAAAGAGGTTTCTTCAATGTATTCAGCACCACTTTACATTTATTTAGAAAAAAAAAGGGGGGGGGGTGTGGAAAAGCAAGGTAAGAAAATGTTAAAATATTCTTATAGTTGCCTGGGAAACAAATCTTCATCCTACATGGACTGATCCTCCCATATACAAAAGAGGCCATGTAGAGTAAAATCAAACTGGTGTCCATTACTCATTCCCTCTCCGGCTCTTCTTGTGGCTTTTCTTAGACCTAGAATGGCAGCACAAATAAATCATTAAATTTAGCAGCTGTTCAAAGAAGATAAGCAAAGACTGAATCTTCAGTTTATACATGTGGCATATTTTATGTCTCAGAGCAGCAACCCTATGAAGCATGCATCATTGTCTAAAACTTACCAGTAAGGAAATGGCCTCTGAGAGGTACATAGTGCACTGGACAATATATGCCCTTTGTTAGTTTCTAAAAAAGGCTTATTGAATGAAGTGACTTTTAGTTGGAACATCTATCCTTTGCTTTCTGTCCTTTGAATTTTCCAAAGCTGTAATCCCACAAGTAAACAAATTCTCAGGATTATAAGCCTTTTCTGTCCTAAAATTACTAATTCTCCATTAAAATGAAACTTGGAAACTCAACCTAATTGTGACTGTGCTTTTAATTTCCAAATGAGGAGTGAAATTCCGATGAGGAAACTGGTCATTAGATACACGTACCTTTCAGGGGACTTTGAGTGGCTCCTGTGCCTGTGACTGTGGTGATGACCTAGGGAAAGAAAGGCCATCAGATATGTGAATCCTATCCACTATCACTCTCACCTCCCACACTACCTTCCACTAGACTCCCCCCACCCTCCCTCCCTTTTCTAAGAACATCTCTTAGAGGTAGCACCTCTGTGATTTGATGGTGAACAGATTAGTACTAAAACCACTTCATAAGTATTCAGGGCTTTAAAACACAATCACCACACTGGGTTTTCACTGTAACTCTGTACGATTTAATCCTACAGTTTCAGATAAGAAATTGAAGTCTATCGTATTTAGCAAAACTAGTAAGTGGACAGAGACAAGACATGAACTTAAATTTCAAAATTCCTAGTCCAGTTCTTTTCTGCTGGGCAAAGGGCACTCCTATGAAGAATTCCAAATAATAAAGGAACTTCAGTTCCTTTTCTGCACAAGGCACTCCTATATTGCTAAAGGCAAACTATCCTTACGTTCCACTGTTAAGATAACCAGTAGCAACAAGCCAAAATGCTGTACCTGGGGACTTGGAGCGAGATCTGTGTCTGCGATCTCGGGACCTACTGCGATGACGTCTTGGACTCTTGCTCCTATGTCTTTCTCGACGAGGAGAGGGGCTGTGGAAAAGACTTGTCAAACACGCAGATGATGTGTGGCAGTATATAAACAATACACGACCTCCCCTCACCACCCATTCATTACAAATGACTGAAGACCTACCTTCTCCTCTTGGGAGACCGACTCCGCCTACAAGGAAAGACATGAACATAGGTTAGTGGATGTACTGGATGTTGCATATTATAAAAAGTCTTCAATTACCTCTGACCATGTCCTCTGCAATGTAATTCTCTAGCATTTTCTCATTCTAGGACTAGCTGTGTAACATGCTTTGGTCAGTCGGATACTTTCATTTGTGATGCAATTAGATGAAGAAAAGATACTACTATTAGGCCTGTTTGTACTTGAGCTCTCCTAGAGTACACATGAAATGAAGAGATACACGGGAAAGAGATTAACTGCACCAATAATCCTAGCTAAGACGAAGATCACAAAGCATGCGAGTCAACTTAGCTTTATTAGAAAACTCCTTTTGGGGGAGCTCTGGTGGCCTAGTGGCAAGGAGCTGCAACTACAATCCCAGAGGCACACGGTTCGAATCCACCAGATGCTCTGCCGGGAAAAGGAGAGACAATCTCCTCCTGTACCAGTCAGATCTGATTTGACGGTACACTCACGCAAAAATAAAAAAAAAAGAAAAC